TCTGATAAAATTTCTGACTCCTTAACAAAATTTGGAATGACAGTCCTAAATTCCTTTACTTGTTACATATGGACTCTGAGAATCCCTGATAATCACCTTCAGAAAAAATTCGGGCATTGGTATCTTACAGGATTGCAATACATATTATTAGGACTGTAATAGATAATAACAATAACAATTATAATAACAATAGGAGGAAAAGCAATGATGACAATGAAGGCTGACATTTACTGAGCAATCAAGTACCAAGTCCTGTGCTAAGTAATTTGAGGCATTGTCTCATTTAATCATCATGACAACTTTGCCAGACAATATAAAGTTCCTAAAACATTGTCTGTCACATAATTATTCCTCAATCAATGCTTAAAATTGTTTTTCCTCCTGGTGTTCAAGGTCTGCTGTGGCCTGACACTTCTTTGCCTATCCTAACCAGCCTCCCATTACCCTCCCTCAACATGACCTTAACCCTTGAAAAAGACTCTAGCCATCAAATTTCTCTATCTAAATTCTTCTGAAAGCTCAAGATACTGTACACATTTTTTCTTCTTCCAGACCTCTTCATTACACATGGATCTTTTCCTTCTCTCTATTCTTCTATTATAATTTTGACTCAGTTAGTTTAAAAAGTCCTAGGAGTAGGGTCTGTATATTGAATTTATTTTTCAGTCATCCTTCATGTCCAGGATATTGCTGTGTATCGAGTGTGCACTTAAAATTGTGTTGAAATAATGAAAGGATGAAGACAGGGTTGAGAGCATGAACATAACTGGAGGGAGAAGAGAGGCTATGTGTATGTCAACATGGGGGACAATTGCAGGTAAGAGCTAAAAATAACTGAAACCAATAAAACTGAAAATGTGTTTGTGTTTAAAGTGATATGGTGGTTAGCCATCAAGATTATGGATTTATCATGCTGTCATAAAGCTAAAAAGGAGCTTCTGATCAACAAATTATCATTTACATTTTTATAAAAACCCACTTGGGCAATGAACCTCAATAGCAAGCCAGCTAATAATCCAAGATTCTCCTACCTGCATGAGCACAGCAGGCACATAACGGAAAGGACAAGAAGCGCTGAGGTCACTGTAGTGCAAGGTCAACATTCCTCCCATTTATGCCTCATTTCTTGTGTGACAAGTGTCACACTATCCCAGAAATTGTGCCTGGTAACATTGGTTCCTGATAGCTCAGCAGATAACTTTGTTCCCCTTGCCATCACACAAATGTGTATGACTGCCAATTTAGAAGCCACCCTTTAATTCTCTGTAATGAGAAATACAGTAGGAGGGTCTTGAATTAAGGTGTCATGGGGAGCATTTTTAACTCTTGGAGACAACCTTCACCATGTTGCCCAGGGATGACCTTCCTCACTGCTGGCACTGTCTGTTCTCTAGCTGAGCCCTCTTTCTGGCTTGCTCCATGCATCTCTGCTGGTACACCATACTGTTGCTTCTAGGTTTGTAACATTGTCAAGTTTAGTGAGGACAGCCCACGGACTTTGCTCTTTTAGTGCCATATGCTCCTATGGTGTATATGCTAAAAAGTGCAACCACTTGCTGCAGCCCACCTCCAGCTTCTTCACATAAACCAGAACTTCCCACCCAGATGATACCATTTTACTTGAAATACTTGTGAATTTTTTTGTAAAGCAGTGTGGATTAAATGGAAAAT